TTATCTGAGCATTAAAATCCTCAGTTTTTGAGGCTTGCAATTTTCTACACACAAAGGTCTTTCTGTGCAGGCCTTATGAATGTGGCAATAATATTAAAACCATGGTTCATGTTCCGCTTGCCCAATTAAACTTAATGAGGTCCAAGGCTGGAGCCTTTCTAGATGTCGCCTTTTTGAAAACGGCTGACAGTTTTCAGCTGGTCGAGCTGTTGTGCATCTTTAATCATGTTTTGATTAAGTTTTGCTGCACGCACGAGTTGGGCTTTGCCAGGTAGTCCACGGTTTCTGCTTGGACGATGCTCTTCATTATTATCATCCATTTGAAATATCATCACTCAGGAGTATATACCTTCACAGTTTCCAGATGGTAGGCACTGAGATTGAACGGAAGATCTCATGAGGGCATCAGGTGCATCTTACCTGAGCCATTTTGTCTGCCCTTCTCCCACCTGGGTCAAATGTTTGTCGATCTCTACAAACACACTTGGAGATGGAAACATAATTTGATACTTTTTGCTTTCTATCAGTCATGACTCAGGTGGCAGCATATGCCCCTCTGAATCACAAGGTTCTATGTTTTAAGTCCCACTTTTAGGTTTCTTCACAACTGTCAAGGCTGACATTCCAGTGCAGTGCTGTCAGAGGTTCCATCTTTTGGCTGAGACGTTAAACTGAGATCTCATCCGCCCACTTGAGTGGTTGTAAAAGCAGGAGAGTAGGGGAGTCATCCCCAGTGTCCTGAAAAATGTTTATTCCTCAACTAGCATCACAAAACACAGATTATCTGGTCATTAACCTATTTGCTATTGCTGGGAGTTTACAGAGAACAAATTACCTGCCCATATGCACCACTGAAACAGACCATTTGACGAAACCATGCTTACTTTAATGATCCTATCAAGTCTCCATTCTTCTGTATCTAACTCTCTCACCATAAGGTCAGAAGGTTTATTTGAAATCACAAGCTTTCGGAGTGCTGATGAAGGAGCAGTGCTTCAAAAGCTAGTGATTTCGAATAAACCTGTTGGACAATAACCCGGTATCGTGTGATGTCTGACCTCGTCCACCACAGTCCAACACCAGCACCTCCACATCAGGTCTCTCAGCATATACCTCATCTGCTTATCCAGCTTCCCATGACATGTATTTGTACCTCTGCTACCCCTTGTAGCGGTGAGTTTTACATTCTCACCACTCTCTGGGTTGTACCACTTGCTGCAGTATGGCTGCTTACAGCTCCTCGTGCAAAAACAAAACTTTGCTGATGGATCCATCCAAACCACATTAACTAATATTTGGTTCATTGAGTATTTGCAGTAAACACACAGAGCTGATACACACACAGCAAGATTCAAATTCCAGTATTTGCAAAGGACAATACTGGGGGACCAAAGTGTAGGTGGCACGAGGCCCTAAAATGCAAGGAGTTGAAAGGGCATTGATTTGGGTGTAAGTATTTTGAGTATCTTTGCAGTTTACTTGAACCCACGAGACTTGTTCAGAGACTGAATAGTTGGTGTTGGAAGTGAGAAACTTCAGGCTTCACATTATTAAGAAGCACACAGTATTTGATGGATTAAAAATGCCATTTGATAGCTGTTAGGAAACATGACCATTCTCCGTATCCATTGCAAAAATGGCAAGATTTCTTTGTACTGTTGTCTGTTCCATAACTGCCACTTTCACATTTAACAAGAGGGTGCCACATAGTTTTGACTTACTGGTAGAGTCTGGAAAATAAAGGCAACGATGATGTTCAGTTTTTGAGATAGGTACCTTCCAGCAAAGATAAGATTTCCTAAGTTATTTTTGTTCTAGAGACATAGAAATCTACAGCACAGGAAAAGGCTCATCATGTCTGTACCAGTCAATTACAACCAACTATTCTAAACCCATTTTCCAACACTTGGCTCATAACCTTGTATGCCTAGCCATGACAGGTGCACATCTAAATACTTCTTAAACCTTATGAGTGTTTTTGCCTCGGCTAATAAAGGAAGTATCCCTTATGCCAGTTTAACCACTTTACCCCCCTGTCTTGATACCTTAAGAGACTGGTGTACAAGCACACCAAGGTCCCTTTATTGTTGGTGCTTTCCAAAGTCATACCGTTGGTCATGTATACGCTTACCTTGTTTGTCCTGCCTAAGTACCTCACCTCACATTTTCTGGAGGATCACCAGAAATATATTCAAAATGGAGAAGCACAGGGAGGAGGCACGTCTTTCGGAGGCAGGTCTGAGAGACTCAGTGACTGAATTGATTCAGTTGGTGATTTATCGTCATGAAGCTTGGAGCTGTGTTTTAGTTGTTGAACAGCAGTCAGCTCCTCCATTAGTGTACTTCCCGATGAAAGACCTCCAGCTCATCAGCATCCAAAGTACATGCTGATGACTTCTCTGCTGTAATATTTTGAACGATTAGTCCACCTCTCTTTCACCACCACAAATTTCAATCTTAAGAAAAGCTGCAGCTCTGTAAAAACAGCTGCTTTGTTGAATGTTCTGTGTCCCCACGCTGGGGCACATTGGCCTTGCAGCAACATTTTCAAGTGTCAACAGAATACAATTACAGAGAGAGTCTTGTGTCAGAGACAACTCGGCTTCCTACATTGACAGATTCAAGCCATCTATGCTTTAAATTTAACTTAACAAGATAATAAATCTTCAGTAAGGTCACTAAGTCATTGGGCTCCCTGGAAGATGCAATCAACACTTGTCACTATATCTTAATGAAGCTCAGCCAGAACTCAAAGTGATGCTGGCCTCAAGTTAATGTGATTCAGCAACGACACAACCACAGAATGTGTGCCCAGGGTGAGAAATGATTATGTTTTTGTTCTAAACTCTTGAGTTTATTTGAAGTCTGTTTCCCCACTAAAACTCAAGATTTTAAGACAGTTACCTCGTTCTGAATGCAAGGGAGGTTATTGAAACTGATTGAAAAATGAGCACCATGCAAATATTCACCTTAACCAACGGAATGCCTCGTTGCATATGACACTTTATTAAAGTATTATTTTCTTGGGATATGGATATCACTGACAAGGCCAGTATTTGTTATGCATCTCTAATTGCTGTTGAAATGAGTAGCCTGATAGACCAATCTCAATTGGGCAATTAAGAGTGAACAATATTACTGTTGGTGTGAAGTTACCTGTGGGTCTGACTGGCTAAGTATGGCAGATTTCCTTCCCTAAAGTGCATCAGTGAACAGATCAGTCTTTACAACCATCGCTGCTAATTATAACGGTCACTATAACTGAGACCAGCGTCACGTTCAGATTTATTAATTCTGATGACTATGATAGGAGGAATGCATGAGGATTCAAGCCCCAGTACTCCACCAGTCATACCATTAGTGTAAACATTTGGTTCAGTCTCTAAAATAACCATTGATTCCTTTTTGTACTGCTACCCAGAGTAAAAGAGACTTGCACAAGGCTTCTTTAATGAACTCAAAATAAGCTTTTTAATATAACACAAAACCTATTCTTCAAACACATCGCAAACACTGACTATATCTGTGATATAGATTTAGAACTATATCGCCTTAATTCCAAATGCACAGCACTCACAACACACAAGATGACAGCCTTTGGAGAGAGGATTCTTTTTAAACAGGGCAGACACAAAGCACCCATGTTGGTCAAGGATCTGAAAACAAAAAAGAGAATTTGATGACTTCTCACAGTCCACTGGGTTTCTTGTTGAGAAAATCAAATTGTTGACCGCTGTAGACCAATGGAAGATCTTCAGATTGAAATCAAGCTGGATCTGAGTCTTTGGAAAATGGTCACCTTTCAGGTTTGCAAGGGTTTAGCAAGTTGTTAGAAATATTGATAATTGAAAATTTTGTCAGGTTTCCATGAAGTTCTACAGAGAGAGAGGGAGAGATACTTGCCTTTTTTTCCTTAGGACTAATTAGGTATGTGAAAACAGAACTGAAGTCCAGAAAACATTGCTAGGCAACCAACACAGTGGCGCAGTCTTTTCAAAATTGGGTTTTCCAGCAAATAAACCCCATCCCTTACCTCCTTAAAAATATTGCCTGTCTTTTTTCCAAAGTTCCATGACTTTCTGTAAACAGCAGATAGATAGCGGTACAGCACACATTAAGCTGTTGGATTATTTTCCAGAAACCACATGATTAAAATTCCTTTCAATCAGAATTTGTCCAGTTTCATACCTTCCATCGTAATTGAATTTAAGTTTGCCTGGCCTCTGGAATATTAATGCAGTGACATTACTGCTATACCACTGTCTTTCCCCAGTTCGCTGGTTTATGAAGCATTTGAGAGATCTCTGAGGACACAATGATGTAGGAATTAATTGTGAGGGAATCGTAAGCTGGAGGTTCAACTGCTCCTCCCCCTAGTCATAATGCAATAAATAATCTTGGAGTACTAATGATGAGCATGTGAGTATGAACCCCAGGCAGTGAGGCAGATTTAGTAATCCCTATGTTAGCACTCTAGCTGAAATCAGCTCATGCACCACAGAACAGGGATCAAATCCTCTGTGGTACGTTGAGCTTTGAGGTTCTTGTGGATCAAGGAGTTCTCCAACGGACTCATATAGCAAACACTGCCTCCTTTCTGTTAACCACTTGTATTTCCTAACATTGTTATTAAATATTTGGAGTTTCAATAAATGAACACAGATGGATAAATAAATTTGGCCAGAGTTTTTTGTAAGTGTAAGACCAAGGTGTAGCCACATCTTTGCAATATCAGGAGTCTCTTCAATTTGAGTTAATGGGAAGAATACATGAAATCCCTAACTCTGTGCGTTCGTTGTTAGTGCTGTGTTGTTACCTTCACATTATGAGATAGTTTCAGTAGTTTAAATACATGTTTAAAAACATGGTCAGGCTAGCAGATGACATGGGGAAAACTCCTCTGTTTAAACATTTGAAAGATTCTTTGTATTTACAAGGTGGGGGATACAAGAAAGAGTTGCTGGAATGTTCACATTTGTTTGTGTTGCCTCTGTGGCCAGGTTTGGAATTCACCCTGTTGCAGGGCGCATGCCCGGGCAACTCAATGTGCTGCTTGCTGAAGCTGGAGTTCCATATGATATCGTACTGGAAATGGATGAAATCAATGCAGACTTTCCAGGTAAGTGTTTTAAATCTTGCATCTTTTATTAACAAATACATAATCCTTGGGCAGAATTTTCAGGGTCCACCCAGGTTGGGAATGGAAACAAGGGAAGGGAAATACTGTTGCCTCTTGGCATGCTGAGGATTCCTGAACTCCCAGCTGGCACGAGCCATTTGGACACAGGAGGATTCAGTGCCCGGAAATCTGTACCAATGAAGCAAACAGCCAATTTTAGTCATAAAAACCCTGTTAAGGACACAGAGGAGGTCGGCAGGGATTTGGCCTTTGGTTTTCCAGTGCCATGGGGACAGGTTGGAAGTCAGTGCTCCAGGATAGCTTTCTGACCCTCTTTTCCTGACTGAGGCCAAATATAGCCATACACCATCCTGAAACAGGATTCCTCCCCACACTAGAAGAGGGAAGGAATCCCACCCTCTGCAGGATGGAGGCAATGGCCGAGTGGTATTATCACTAGACTGTTAATCTCAGAAACTCAGCTCGTGCTCTGGGGATCTGGGTTCGAATCCCATCAAGGCAAATAGTGAAATTTGAATTCAGTAAAAATAATTGCAATTAAGAATGTACTGATGGCCATGAAACCATTGTTGATTGTAGGGAAAAACCCAATGGGCTCACTATTGTCCTTCAGGGAAGCAGATCTGCTTTCCTCACATGGTCTGGTCACCTGGTCACTTACATGTGAGTACAGACCCACAGCAATGTGGTTGACTCTGAACTGCCCTCTGAGAATGACCTAGCAAGTCACTCAGTTGTATCAGTCGCTATGAAGTCTCAACAAAGAAATGAAATCCATCCAGATGGACCACCTGGCATCAACACAGACACCAGAAAAGAAAACAGCAGAAATAGCCTTGATTACCCTGCAAAGTTCTCCTTACTAACATCTGAAGCTAGTGGGAGAGCTGTCGCACAGACTAGTCAGGAAACACCCTGACATAGTCATACTCATGGAATCATACAATGTCCCGGACACTACCATCACCATCCCTGGATATGTCTTGTCCCACTGGCAGAATTGACCTAGCAGATGTGGCAGCACAGTGGTATATAGTCGGGAGCGAGTTGCCCTGGGAATCCTCAACACTGACTCTGGACCCCACAAAGTCTCATGGCTTCAGGTTAAACATGGGCAAGGAAACCTCCTGCTGATTACCACAAACAACCTTCCCTCAGCTGATGAATCAGTACTGCTCCATGCTGAATAACATTCGGAAGAAGCACCGAGGATGGCAAGGGCACAAAATTACTCTGTGTGGGGGATTTCAATGTTCACCACCAAGAATGGCTCAGCAGCAGCATTACTGATGGAGCTGGTTAAGTCCTAATTCAACCCAACCAACTGCCACCCCATCAGTCTACGCTCAATCATCTGTAAAGTGATGGAAGGTGTCATCAACAGGGCTGTCAAACAGCACCTGCTGAGCAATAACCTGCTCAGTGATGCCCAGTTTGGGTTCCGCCAGGGCCACTCAGCTCCTGACCTCATTACAGCCTTCGTTCAAACATGGATAAAAGAGCTGAATTCCAGAGGTGAGGTGAGAGTGACAGCACTCTTGATGATAAAGGCTGCATTTGACTGAGTGTGGCATTAAGGAGCCCCAGCAAAACTGGAATCGGCAGAAATCAGTGGGCAAGCTCCTTGCTGGTTGGAGTCCTACCATAGGAAGATGGTTGTGGTTGTTGAAGATCAGTGATCTCAACTCCAGGGCATCTCTGCAGAAGTTCCCCTGGGGTAGTGTCCTCAGCCCAACCATCTTCAGCTGCTTCATCAATGACCTTCCCTCTATCGTAAGGATAAGGACAGCAGATATATGGGAACAGCACCACCTGCAAGTTCCCCTTCAAGCCACTCACCATCCTTACTTGGAAATATATCCCGTTCCTTACTGCCACTAGGTCAAAATCCTGGAATTCCCTCCCTAATAGCATTGTGGGTCAACCCACAGCAGGTGGACTGCAGCGGTTCAAGAAGGCAGCTCACCACCACCTTATCAAGGGCAACTTAGAATGGACAATAAATGCTGGCCAGCCAGTGACGCCCACATCCCACGAGTGGTTTATAAAGAAACAATAGCTTAGCTGCTTTTACTATTACTTGTGTAATTTTTAAAAACAGAAGTTAGTCAATAGAGCACCTTCATGTTGAAGCGCGCTCTTGGTTACCTGTCCTTCCCTGTAAGCTGCTGCTCCTCTAAAAATGGAAGGCCTCTGTTTCGTCCTCCTACTTTGAAAGCTCGCTTGATGCCCTTCATTGAACAGGGAACCATGAAATGGTGGGATTGGGACCAGAGACAGCCCTGGCCTCTATTTCCTACCCTCAAGATAAAACCATAGCCCAATGTGTGAGCAAATTCAAAGTATAATCATTAACTGAGCAACAGCTTATAGGTCTACAAACATCCGGGAATGTGGTGATGGTTACGCTAGAGATCCTGTCTATTTTCAACAAGGATTAACATTTCAAAAGAAGGGATGGTAGGATTAAAACCAAAGTGGAAATGTTTTGGGTAGCGTTAAGTAATGGGCTAATTGTAGAGGAGGCCAGACAGGTTGTAGAGTCATAGAGTCATACAGCATGGAAACAGACCCTACGTTTAAACTCATCCATGCTGACTAGGTTTCCCAAACTAAACTAGTCTCATTTGCGTGCATTTGGCCCATATCCCTCTGAACCTTTCCTCTTCATGTACTGTCCAAATGTCTTTTAAATGTTGGACCTGCATCTCCCACATCCTCTGGCAGTTCATTCCACACACGAATCACCCTCTGTGTGAAAAAAGTTGCCCCTCAGGTCCCTTATAAATCTTTCTCCTCTCAACTTAAAATTACACCCTCTAGTTTTGAACTCCCCCACCTTAGGGGAAAAGATCTTTGCTAATCACCTTATCTACGGCCCTCGCCCCTCAACGTCCTACACTCCAGTGAAAAAAGTCCCAGCCTATCCAGCCTCTCATATCTAAAACCTCCTGTCCTGGTAACATCCTTGTAAATCTTTTCTGCATCCTTTCCAATTTGATAATAGCGTTCCATAGCAGGGACACCAGAACTGTGCACAGTATTCCAAAAGTAGTCTAACCAGTGTCCTGCACAACTGTGACATGATTTCCCAACTCCTATACTCAATGGTCTGAGCAATGAAGGCAAGCGTGCTAAATGCCTTCTTAGCCACCCTGTCTGCTTTTGACGCAACTTTTAAGGAGCTATGTGCCTGAACCCCGAGGAACTGGATCAAAACAAGAAATGTAATTTAGCATGGAAAATAGACAGTCACAGAGCAGGAAGTGGGAAGCAGGAAGACAGGAACAACACATCGGGAAGGAGCTGCAGTTATGGCATAAACAGCCATAAACATATGGTGCAGCAGAGGTGAGGATTTTGAATAAGGTGTGTAATGCGAAGGCTCAAGCAAAGATCCCAGGAAGTGATAATGAGTTCTGGTTGGTCCCTACATTGAGCATTATGTAATATACTAAGTGCAACACCATAGGGGATTTACTCACTTTTGGAGGGAATGTGTAAAATGACGAATAATTTGATCAAAGGTTTCAGACAACTGAGTGATAAGCAAAAGGTAAAAGTGCTTTGAATACTTACATTGGTGAACAGGAGTAGTAGAAGTGACATAATTGAAATATTTTAGCACCTCCAAGGGAATAGATAACTGGATCCCAGAATGCTCTGTAAGGGACGTGGAAAAGCAACTGTGAATACTTGCTGAAATGTTCATGCAGGACGTGATAAACATGTGACATTGCCTATCTGAGGAGGCAGTGGAAGTAGTAAAAAACAATTTGAACATTTGACTATTGAATTGTGTCAGAAGTACTGCTGTCTGAGAAGTCTGATGTTTTAGGACAAACTGATAAATGGAAATGATTGTATTTGTGTCCAATAGAATTACATTGAAGGAGCTGTACGGGGTCCAGTTAGCCCACTTGGTTGTACAACTCAGTTTGCAATGTAGAATGACTCTAACCATATGAGTTCATTTCCCACTTTGGCGGAGATTATCATAAAGGACTCTCCTTCTCAATCTCTCCCCTTGTCTGAGGCATGGTATTCTTCAGGTTAAAACACTACCAGTTCTCGTTCTCTATTGAGAGAGCAGCCCTATGGTCTGGTAGGACTATGGCAAATTTACCTTTTTACTTGATGGGTTAGATTACCATACTAAAGGCAAAATACTGTGGATGCTGGAATGCAAGGTGGCAGCAGCGTAGGAAGCATCAGCCAGCATTCGTTTGTTCTGCCAGTTCTTCTTCTTCCTTTTTTTTCCCTCTTGGCGTTTTGTTCCCTTCTTCTGTCCAAACCTCTGATAACTCCTGGCCTCTGGTGACGACTCCCAGCTTCTGACAACTCCCGGCCTGGTCTAGCGGCCTCCCTTCATGATGTGGCAACCTCCCGACCTAGAGACCTTTTGGCCTCCCATGGCAGCCTCACAGCATGGTGTGATGGCCTCCCAGCCTTCGTGGCAGCCTCCCAGTGTGTTGTAGCGTCTTTGGCTCAGCATGGCGGTCTGGAGCAATCTCCCAGCTTCACGATCCTCGAGGTGAAGCCCGATGTGGTCTGGCGCTAGGGCGGACTGGAGGCAAGGTGCCAGAGTAGTCTGGATTGGAAGACCGCTGTTCTGGACTTTTATTTTTGCAATGCTGGACATTCTATTTCTCTATGTTCTAAGATCTTTTAACTAAAGAAACTGAACCTAGGTACCTTTGTACCTAAGATGGTGCTGTAAGTGGCGACGTATATACTTTTCACTGTACTCATTGAGTATATGTGACAATAAAGCTAATTCATTCATTCATTAGAAACTGATATTTAGCAGAATCTGTGGAAAGAGAAACAGAGTTGTTTTGAGTTTGATATGACTTTGTCAGAATTGGAAGGGACTGGAAAATGGCAGTTTTTAGGTTTACGATGTCTGGTAATGTTTTATAACGAGTCATGGTCTCGAAATCCTTGTGTCAGAATCTTGGAAATGCTCAGAGTTGCTG